TAAAATTTTTTTAATTAGGTTCGTTGTCCGCGACATAACCCGTCGGAAAAACGGGAATCGAGGTGTGACTGAGCAATCCCTTTTCCTTGGTCCTGTCTTCTCTTTCCCTGCTCATAAGTCCCCCAGAGATGACTCGCACTCCCCACCTTCTTCCGGACCATCCACGAGTATCCGTACCGATCAGCGTAGTCACAACCATAGTGAAGAAGCCGTGTCGTTGTTCACGTGTACGACGCGAGCCAGCAGAAGCGGGCTTTTCTCTTGAGGTTGTTTCCGGGGCTTCGCGGGAAGCCACGCCGGATAATACAGCAGGCGCACCCTGCTTTGGCCCTCCATCTGTTTTTAGGTGCTCGCTAACGACAATTCCCTTGCCACCGCTGTCTCACAAACCACCCCAAGTGGCGGGCCGATGTAACACATGAGATAGATAGTTGGTATTTCTCCCCTGATTGCATAAGCCAGCGCATCATCATTCTCTCCAGTGTAAACACGAATATAAGGTGGGGTAGCTTAAATGAGTCAGGCCCAATTTCAGCCATTAATATCGTCGGCCAATAAATCTGGGAGCAAGCAGCGCGTGCTGGAGACCAAGCTTTTACTCCCGCCCACTTTTCACTACTCCATTAAAAACCAGAGGATTTATTTTAAATGATTTAAAAAATCAACACGCTTTGGTTCTCCTTTACTCACTCGAAAGACTTTGCAAGGTGCGTGTGTGTCCGCGCTTGTGTGTGTGTGTGTGGGTGTGTGTGTGTCTATGTGTGTGTGTGTGTGTGTGTGTGAGTGAGAGAGAGAGGGAGAGACGATACAGTCCGTCTGCACTACATGAAACATTCACGTGGCACATGAGGGAAAGCCCTGTTATAAAAATGTCATATCTTGGATATAAGAGACTGATGGCCAGTCACACGTCATGTCAGACCAGCTAACTACGGAGACATCTCTAAGAACTGACACATCCTTCGGCTTGCATGGTGAGGAATGAGTGACATCACCCACGCGTCAGTGAGATGGAGAACACAGCTGTCATTCCTCAGCTCACACAGTGGCAGAGCTCATACGTTCAATACGTAGGTCAGAACATGCCGATAAATAAACGAGTTAGACGTTTTATCAGAGAGGAAATGGAGAAAAAAAACACCAATGAGGAAGACTTGGATAGAAAATGGGCCATTGTTGAGTTGAGTGAGGATGCTGTGCAGCAGAAGCATTAGTCCAGGTCATCCATGCCCAAGCACGACTCACCTTCCCATAAGCCCCTACACCCTGGAGGGTAGAGTGAATGAAATGATAAGTTTACAGAAAGCCAACAAGATGAAAATGAAGACAAGAGTGGGAAAAGAGGAAGAGCGCCATGAACAGAAGATGAAATCTGAAAAAGCTCAATGATGCATATTACACATTTCCAGAAAGTATTTCTACAACCTCAAGTATTTATGAAGAGCAATCTTCCAGAAAGCCATATTTGAGTAAACACATTTGCCGGTCTTCGTACACGTACCGCTTATGAATATGAATAAATCGAATGAAAAGACCCAACGATGAATGTGTTGCTTGGTTTGTCTTATTGCATTCCCATGAGGACCAGTCCTATTATTTAAAGGGATTCCCTCAGAATTCTGAGGGATAATATACATGTATTCATATTTTTTCTTTTAACCACACCGGCCAATAATTCATTCTACGTAACGCTCTCACATTTGTTGGACTTTGTTTTCCCAATTCAACTATACGTTTCAACTCCCCAGCTAAACCCTCTCTCGTTCACTCACTTATTGGCAGGCCCAGATATTAATATCTATAAGAAACACGTGGCACCTCTAAAGTAACACGGGAGACAGTCTGTAGGCTCTCACCTCAAAGTCCTCGTCGGACAGGTAGACCTCCAGGCGAAGAGGGTCAACGCCCTCGGGCAGCGGCCGGGTCAGAACATCTGCCAGTGGGTACGTGGTCTTACACAGCCGGGCCAACACATCCTCCACTAGGATGATCTGGTTACACACCTCAGCCTCCTGATAACAAACACACCAGCACTAACGTATATTAGCTTTCAAATGATGATCAAGTCTGTAAACTAGTCTCAGTCGGTGTGTTCATACTAATGGACACAGGCAGACAGTCAGAGCAGCACTGGTCCTTATTACATAATGAGTCATCAGATAAGTGGATTTGATCCACACCCTCTCAGTGATCTCAGCGATGTCCTCTCTGTGCTCCCAGCTGGGGAACATGTTGGTGAAGGTGAGAGGCTCCAGACCGGCGTGGATCAGGTACGCTTTGGGAGGCTTCTTCTCATTCTTTTCTGTGGAAAATAAAATTACAATATTTGTGTTTTATTACATTGTGATATTAGTATTCTCATATTATTTATCATGACATTCATAGAATAATACAGAGATGATGGCATGAAATGTAAATCGCTCATTTTTCAGGATCATGTCAACCAGAGAACATGTGGAAATAAAACATGTCTCAGATAAGGGACAGGGAACGATATATATTGATGTTGGAAATATATTTGTAAGATAACAGTGAGACATGAACGTGTATGCATGTATGTTTCAGAACCTAACCCTCCCTATGAGGTCGTTACCATAAGGTCACTACTGTAACCAAATTTCGATGATTGCTCACGCTACCGCAGTAACCGTGTCGTAATCAGGCCATGTGGTTCTTTGACAAAAACACAATTCTTCTTTTTAAATTGTGTCTTCAAGATGAAGAGAATATTCAACTTTCATTGTCGTAAAATCCATGTCTTTCTCACATATTACCGACCTCTCCCGGCTCAGTATTTATGCATGTACCATGGCATCATAGGTGAAAGCCTTTTCTCTGTCTGATAAGAGAACGGGAGTACCTCTGCAGTACTGCAGCACAGTCTCCATGGCACACTTCCTGTCCGAGTCCCAGCGGATTTGGGCTGAGCCGGTGCTTTCGCTGTCCTGAGGCCACCAGCCCTGCCACAGATACACCTCGTGATGGTTGTCCACCAGGAACAGGGCTGAGCGTCAGAGAAAGAAAACAAGGGGAGGACCTTTAGGGTGAGGACAATGTCGTCGAGAGCCGAGCAAACGCAAAACACACCCGGGTGCATCGCAATCCTCCTCATTCATCACACAATCATGTAGATATACTTCTGATAGAGGCCTAGCTGCCAAAATCTTTTTGCATACATACTAATGTAAAAATGATGAAGACTGAGGTCATTCATAGGTGAAGTTAATGTCTCACTCATGTCAACACATTTCCTTCACAATTTGTAAAAAGGTCAGGTATCCTCATCGAAAGAGGTTTGTTATGTGCTTCAGAAATTGTAATTATATATTTATTGTAATTATATTCACATCGTAACTCTAGAATGTTGATGTCAGGATCTGGTAATGGTTCCCATCACATGTACAGAAGGAGAAAAGATTGCGTGTACCTGGTTGTGAAGCCGCATAGAGGTCCTCCTGCAGGAAGGGCATGGAGTTGACCTCCCTGGGGTCTCTGGCAGGGTAAAGAAACTCTACTGCCACAAACTCCCCGGAGCTGCTGCTCAGCTGGTACAGACGCGGTGAGAAGTTAAACCTTCCTGGGTCTGTGGGCCAAAGACCAGCACGGGCCGTTTACCACACCAACCGCAGCCAAAGGGGTTTGGGCTTCGCGCACACGGTCTCCCCCCTACCTTGCAGCATGCAGTCGTACGCTTTCCTGTCCCTCCTCCTGAGGGGCTCCCAGAATCCCGCAGGCTCTGCTCCCTCGTCACACTCCCAGATGGTCACCTTGCTGCTGCTGTGAAGGCCCGTTTCCAGAGGACAACTGCACATAGACAAAAGGTGTCACACTGGCTGATAACGCCATTAGGGCAAACAACATCAAGTGTTGATACACTCACTGCTCTCTGATGTGGTTGGCGGCGGTGCGCGCCACCTCCCGCGTGTGCGCCTGAGACTTGCAGCCGTGCCACAGGTAGATGGCGGCCTGGCTCGCACTCAGCAGCACCATGGACGCCCTGGAGCGCAGGCTAGTGCAGTGACAGGCCACCTCCAGCAGGTGGCCCTCCACCTCCGCCTCCCCCCGCACACAGTACAGACGCCAGTCACCTGGGGGACGTTGGTAAAAAAACCAACGTATTTTGTATAATTATTTAGCTTAAGTGTGTGCAGCTCGCAGCCTGTGCATGATGGAGCAGCAGCAGTAATGTGGACTCACTTTGAGAGTTCTCCTCCTCCTCTTCTCTCCTCCCCGAGTGGATCACCATCCCTCCTTTGAAGCACTGCAGGAAACACGGAGGCTCCTTACCCTGCTGGACCTGAACCTGGAAGAGGGGTAAACATCAACACAACTATGTGTAGAAGTGGAATGGTATCGACAGGGATTCCTTCACGTACCTGCGCTCCACGCTCCTCGTCCAGCTCCACGGTCATGAGCGCCGACGTTCCTTTCTCGCTGACTGTGGAGTTGCGGCCCTGCCAGAAGAAGTAGCAGCACTTCTCCCTCCCGGCCCCCGCCGACTTCTGCTGCTCCGGGTTCTGTCTCCTCCCAACTGATGGACAGAGGCAGTCAGACAGTCCAAATGCTGCATACGGCAGCACAATCAACTTTTGGACGGTTTCCCAACATTTGTTTTTTTGCATCCAGTTTAGACATTGTTTTTGGAAATGATGATAGAACATGGTCTCACAAGGAAAAATTATACACTTGATTAAAATGCACAAGGTCATTCTACCACATAATGAACATGATATACAGAGAAAGCATTTTTCACATTATTATGTAATGTAAAAAATGATATGCCCAGCGCAAATAGACACTACTTACAAGACACTATTCTGTAGAGTAGCAACATAGATAAGTCAAATAAATCATCCTGACTTGTTCTTGCAGGCTTTGGAAACAAAGGCAGTGTATTTTTGCAAACAAAATAACTGACTCCTTAAATTTGCAGGAACCAAAGACTCAGTGGAACAATAATGAACGAAAAACAAGTATCTAGTGTTGTATCTTCTAAAGCAAATGCTGTCATTAGTGGGGCTTTCAGTCTAAACATTATAGCTTCTCAGAAGTTATAGATGGGTCGTCACCACCCAAATTTTTCTGATTTAATTAAGTTGCACTTGAATTAAGTTATCAATAAAAATGTAATGCCATGGACCATTATGGATAATAGTACTAATAAAATATAGTAGAGCACAAGCTCCTTGTGTGGGTGTGAAAAGTGAGGACACTGACCCGCAGCGCTGACCATGTACTTCCACTTCATCACGTATGTGTCCCCCTCGTGGAACTGGCCTATGCTCTGGCACGGCAGGCGGCTATAGTCAAACTCCAGGATGTGCCACACCTCCACGCCCAGTGTGCTGATCTCGTAGCTGCGCCACTCCTCGGCCTCCACCAGGCCGTAGCCCCGCCCCACGTTGAATCCGTCTAGTCTGGTGCAGACGGGCGCCTGAGGGAGGGGCAGCATCAGGGAGGCGTCGTACGCATGGGGCTGATTGAAGGGGGGCTGTTCCTGGGGTAACAGGGCAGAAAGGAATGGCCATTTCCTTCTCTGCAGCATTGGTTATGTCACCGGCCTTTGCCGATACCGACGGGCTTTCTGGTACCTTTTGATTGGTGATGTGTTCGTTGTTTTTTGCGGGGCTTGGTGTTCTCCTGGAGTCGCACCAGTCCAGGAACTTCTCTTTGAACAGGGTGGTTTCGTTGTGCTGAGTCAGCCTGCCAAACACGGCCCAGTCCGGTCGGCCCTGACCTTTCCTGCAGGCAAGGAGACACAGACTCAGTATTGCATGAACACTTGATTGCCGTGGATTGAATTACTTCTTCACAGTCGGCCTATTATCTAATGCAGATTGAGTACCAGCAAAGGAGCAAATTGATGTCCTGCTGGCAGAAACAAAACCTTTAAAAAATATATTCATCAATTTAAGCTGCATGCTAATTTTAGAACATGATTAACCATATCATAATACAGCTCTTTCCAAAATGGATTGAAAGCCATCATATCCCTGCAGGCTCTGTTCACAGCCACTAGTCTAAGTAATTCTACCAGAATATGGACGTAGCTGTTTACAGGATCTGTAGAGTTTTGGAACTTTCCGCTAGTATTTTAAAGGGTTAGTACGGAATCCTAAGTATCAATCACAATAACAGAAACCAATGAATAGATTGAGGAAGCTGCAACCACTCCTGTTCTGTGAGGTAAAAACTCCTATTTTTGTCTATGGGGTCTTTGAAGAGAGGTCAGATACAGACTTCAGTTCTCCCTTCCAAAAGGCAGTCTGACAGTAAAGGAAAAAGTTCCTGATATGGCGTTTACATTGATATTGATTTTTTGTGTCAAAGATCTATTTTGCTGCTGCACTTTTGCTTCGCTCCCACTCGGGTGCGGTTTGTTTCTCAAAACTAGAATAACTGGAATCAAGTAAACACTAGTACTTTGGGAAAGCAACCCAACTTCAAGAAGTCCAAAAGTTTGTGAAATCTCCTCAGCCACAAACAATGTAGAACCACATGTTTCCATACTTGGGTATGAGAGTGTTGCACTCGCCCGGGTCGAGCGGGTTGATGTCACAGTTGGTGTAATCGAAGGTGCCGTTCCACAGGTGCTTTGCCAGCTGGAAGGCCACCTTCCTCTGTGCCAGCGTCACCTCCTTCCCGTGCCATATGTACATCTCGCTGCCAAAGTCAAACACCAAGACCTGTGCAGAAACACACGTTTCTTTGGTGGCGGCAGGGCTCTTGCACAATGTATTCTTTTTATTACCATTGGATGGAGCCAAAGTACAAATATACACAGGCCTGATTAACACATTCAACATGCATTTAGACTCCTTTCAGGCGGTCTGACCTCCTTGGGGAAGAGCAGGGAACAGCTCGGGACCTTGGCCCAAAAATCATCATCTGGGACCAGCTTGTCGTCTATCAGGCGGTAGATACAGTTGGTCTCCACGATGGCCCCCTCGTACAGCTCGTCTTCGTCTGGTGTCCCTGCGGCTGTGAGAAGAGAGACAAGGCCTTCAGCTGCAGTTCCGTTGCTCTGGGACAGGTTGGGTTGATTACGCCGGATACGAATCCTTACACTGATAACTCAACTGCCCCCCCAAAATATTCCAGAAGTCCTTGGCAGAATGGCTGTGCGTGCTGACGCCTTCCTCGATGACCTGGACGTAGTTGGCTCGGCAGCCTAAGTCTCTCTTTCTCTGGATGAAGTTTGCCAACTCTGAAGCCTAAACAAATGAGAAAATAACTATACAAATGAGTTTGGCTGATTACACAAACAAAGTGGCTTCTTAATCAACATAAAAATGTTTTTTTTTAAAGCCTGTGGGCTATAATGACCTAAACTCAAATAACCTCTCAGAAAAAAGTCCTTCTACGTACAAACTGAGGTCAGCCATGCAGCCTACGAACAATAGTCATGTTTTGTCTCCGTTTCCTGCAACAACTTGCACACACTTCTGCTGCTGCTGTACCACAGTTGCTTCCTCACAGCGTTGTGTCTACATCTTGCACATTAGGAGGAGGACTCGCCTTGTTCTTCTCGATTACGTTGGCAAACTCCCCGGTCCAGATAAAGCAGTGGTGTGGCGTTACGAGTAGGAAGCAATCCCCGCTGTTCAGGGAGGACGCTCTGGGCTCCACCAGCCTGGTCTGGACGTGCCGTCGGCCTGGTGTTGAGAAATTAAATGAAATCAACATACAACATTGGTGGGAGCTCCAATAATCGTCACCGGCACGCCTGGATTCTCGTACTGAGGGTGTCGGGGGCAACATTGTGCCATTCACCGCCATTTGGCCCTGTACATGTATGTACGCGTATCTGCCTTGTCAAGTACTCGCCTCGTTGAGTTCCATTTCCAGATCATTCTGTAACTACATTAAATCAGAAATGGCTCTTCTAAGAAACTAGTCATACAAGCAGGGATAGAGACAGCTAGCCTCCAAACACCACCCCACCACCCACATCTCCCCCCTGTAAAAAAAAAACAGTGGGGGAATTTGCTTTGTCATTCTCTTAAACAGACAAATTGGATCACTGGTCAAGAAGCTGCCCTGCATGTGTCTTCACTGGAACACAGACACAGTTGGGGGTGCAGGTGCATCTGTTTGTGTACGGGTTGAGCCACCTGTTCACTTCACTGACCTTTGACCTGTAAGAGCATGAGTTTCTTGTAAGGCACAGCGCTATTGTTGGACATCTGCTCGGAGATGTTGACGCTGCGCAGGTTGATGTTGCTGAAGTTCTCCTTGCTTGCCAGACCGGCCAGAGCCACGTCGGAGAAACCAGAGTTTTTGTTCGCTGCGATGGACACAACAGATACAAACACTCGGATGGAAAAATCTATTCAGTGCTTTAATTTATCGTCTGTTATATAGATGAGACAAAGCCTGGAGATGACCTTTCATGCCAGACTACCCCGGTCTTCATACAACTAACAAACGTAGACAGATTAAGTGTTTTTTTATTGCAGTACAACAGTGATGGAGGAAGTTACTGAAGTGGCATATCGACTTTGTAGCTTATCTAACGTCACTCTTATAACAAGAAACACCCCGTCCAGCTTTTGAGGAGGGCTTCATTCAAATGAGCGGACCATTCATAGGCTGCAATAATATCAGTGACGCTAATTTAGATGCACCAAAGGGATATTCTGGGTTTTATTGTGCAACTTTAGAAGTTGTTTTAAACAAAATGGAGCACCTAGTCAGCGGTCACTCACTCTTCTCAGCCTTCATCCTCTTGCTCTCCAGCAGGCCAACGTTGAGTCTCTGTTCCGTGTACTCGTGTCTGATGTCCTCCCTGGCGGCCAGCATCTTCAGAGGGTTTCTAGACGACTGGACGTTACGTGCCGGGCGCACCGCCCGCTTGTGCTGCTCCATTTCCGAGGTCAGCCTGGGCGAGAGGTCAGAGGGGAACGCGCAGTAAGAGCGAGTCTCACAACGACGTTGGTTTTGTTACATAGAAATCACCGCCGGCAGGCGAGAGCTTACTTTGGCAGCTGGGGGCCGAAGATGGCATCGAAGTCGTCGAGGCTAATCTCCAGCCTGTTGGTGGTGGGGGAGAGCTCCTCCACTTGGCGGTAGAACTTGGAGAACGTTTCGTCTTCGAGGGTCATCACCTCCTTCACCTTCTTCTGCGTGACTGTGATGGTCGATTCTGGCAGTCCAGACACTGGGGAGGAGGGGAGGGGGAGTTGTATTATCCAGGATTCATGGAAGTTACTATTACAAATGATGAGCTCATGTTTTTCTAATGGAAGGTACTCTTATTTATTAATAAATAAATTAAAAACTATTATTTAACTTTATTATTTGTGAAGGACACTTTAAATTATTGTAGAAGTGTAGAACTTCAGTGTTTCTTGGTATATATATTTAGCGGATTTATTGTGTTTGTTCATTTGATGATTCTCAGAAGATTGTTTTTGTGCATTTAATTGTATTGGCATGAATGTTTAAAAAAACAAAAACACAAAAAATGAATGTATTAATAATATAAATTACACATCCCTATTGTTTGGGCAAATGTGGGTGTAGAGATCGTCCTTCAATCAGGTTCAATCCCTGACCCTGCAAATCTGTACGTCAATGTGTCCTTGAGCAAAATTGACCATTAACCCCAACATTGCTCCCGTAGCTGTGACCTCGGTGTGTTAATGTTAGCTTCTGATGGGTAAATGGCCTGTACTTGTATAGCGCTTTTCTAGTCTTCTGACCACTGAAAGCGCTTTAACACTACATGACATCATTCACCCATTCACACACTGATGACAGGAGAACCACACACAGTGACACCTGCCATCGGTAACTAATATTCACACACTGTAGTCGCAGCTACAGGAGCAATGTTGGGTTAAGTGTCTTGCCCAAGGACACAACGGCATGCGGGTTAGCCGGGCCAGGGATCGAACCGACAACCCTCTGATTGAAGGACGACCGTGCTCCCCACTCACCCACAGTCGCCCCGGGTATGGGGCCTCTGTGTATGGTAGCTCCTGTTATCTGGGTGTGAATGATGACACGGTCACAAGAATAAAAAAGCGCTTCACTGGTAGAGCGATTTACAATCCATTTAACATATTTCAAATTATTTTATTTTCTTGTGCGGCTGTAGCCTCCCATCGTAACCCTGTAAGACGTACTACTGTTGTGACTTTCGTGTAAAAGTGACTTTTATGTGCTTATTTTAACTCTGGGTGCATGATACATTTTTAAGACATGTATGTAACACATATGCATGTGTAAAAAAGGCTCTTAAAATATTCTTGCTGTAATCAGCAGTCGGCGCAATACTGAAAAGTTACAGGTTATTTCGGAGGTATCATAAAACCATACCATAAAAGCATGAGAGATCTAGAAAAAATAGATTATCTCTTGCAAATGAATCATCACACAGCACTAGTTGGAGAATCCCATGTGCATACACCTGATATCCATCAGAAGATTTAATGCTTTGGAAGAATTTATAATCAATTCTGTGTTTTACTGTGGGAACATTTCTTCGCAGTGACTGAGCTGATGTGATAAACGAGACTGACCTTTGCTGTTGAGCTTGCCGATAAATGACTCCAGTTTATCCAGCTTCATGTCCGACTCCAGGTTCAGATCTGGCATGGCCTTGATCTCTGCACAACCGCACGCGCAGACACACACAGACAGACAGACATAGCTGATAGAGCCATACATTGACACTCATTGTAGCACAGACCCAACCGTATCTGGTGGAGGCATGAAGTCAGAGCTTCTCCCAGTCATTGAGGCTGATATTGAACATTGAATGAGCCTAAATGAAAAGTTGCACGCAGTCACTGTAATACTAAAGCACGTCACAAGTGTTATAATAATGCAACAGCCACTGAAAGTTAATCTTTTCTGTACTACAGACTCATGCATGTGGATGGTAACACTATCGAATGGGTTCATATTCTATTAGGCTTTGATAACCTAATAGAAGTGGTGATTGTTTTGTGGTTCTGGTTATGATGATGAATATTCAATTCAGTGCAACATCAATATAACAAAATAAAAGAAGAATAGACCTTCAATATCAGTCATCTCCTTCGTGTCTTGTGAAAGAGAAGAAAAGACTACACAGTGATTAAATAAGACAAACCCTAAATCTATCCATTGAAGTTCAAGTCAACAATTCAGCTAATTATAGAGTGTAGATTTTGTTGTGGACAGTGTGTGTTTGGTGTTGAGCTGACCTTCTTGAGGTTTGGCGATGGCAAGGCTGCTGTTCTTGGGTTTGGAGGACACTGGGGCCTGGAGGGCCGAAGGGGAAGCCAACCCTCGATTTGATAAGACAAAAACATGTGAGGTCAGTAGAACATGGTTCGATGCACAACAAAGTATAGGTCAGACTTGAAGACGCTAGCACTTTGCTGGCGTCAGAGATGTAGATGGAGTTGCCACCCGTCCCTTAAAATACGTAATCATCCCGTATGTGAGAATAAAATAATGGGTCCCGTTTTGAATCAATACGGGACGGGGTTTGTCCCGTACTTTCCGAGCTGTCAATGCAGCATCCTATTCGGCCCTGTATTGGGTAATACTTAATACTGCCATCGTTGGTTTGATGAAACCTGAACCTGAAATAATGGCGTCCCCCCCCCCCCCCCCCCTCGGCCGTAGTGTCCCTTAGATGTAGAGGACTAAAAAGTTAAACATTGCTGTTACAGATCTCTGTATTATCGGCAATATCAAAATGTAGAAGCTTTTATTTGGTGAAAATCCTGAGGCATTGTGTCCTGATCCAAGTCTCGAACGGACGCTTGCTGAAGTAGCACAACAGACCGCGCCCTAATCTGCTAGCGTGCCAGTTGACCACTACACTGACCAAAGTTGTTATTTCTCATGTTCAACTTTTTGAATGGCAATTGGTCAAAACTGACTAGAGGTGAAGGAATAAAGAAACAGGGCCTAAAGCTTATCAAGCTTTACAGCTGGACTTGCTTTGCTAGGCACGCCTCGGAGATGGACAACGACTGGAGAGGACGTGCATGTTCAGGTTCTCCTCTCACCTTTCTTCACCATGCGTGCGGCCACAGTGAACTGGGTGGAGTCATTGGCGGCGCCGTAGCCTTTGGTCTTCCAAGACTCCTCCTGGGCTACGATTAGCCGCTTCCTCTCCTGGATGGACAAGTGAGCCTCATTCCCCTGGTGCTCCATCTCCGACTCAGCTATCCTCTAAGAAGGGAGAGAAGTTACCGTCAGAACACTCTTGATGGACTGAACGTTAAAGGGAGAACGGGGGACTGGGGTACCTGGATGCAAGGAGTATATCCTCCTTGACAAGATGTTGCTTACTACACTACAGCAAAATCAAACTAGAATATCAGCATGGTGTTCGTATGCCTCAGCTGACCAGTCATACAGCAGATGACATTCATGTCATGACTTCATTTCTTGCAACTCTATTGACATTTGTTTGACATAAAAATTGGAATATCTTTGCGTTATGGCCCAAAATCTATTTCTGAGGTCACAGTAACATGAACCTTTAATCAGGTTGTCCAAATCAAAAATGTCCTCCAGGCAATCCTGAAAAATACACATTACAACGGAGGGACATCCTGAAAAAAATAAAATAATAAAATACACCATCATGGAACCAATTTACGCTGTCATGGCCTGGTTGTGAAAATACATTTAAATGTGGAGAAATTCCTTTAACAGCCATCCACATTCACAACAAAATAGCAGAGCACAACGAGGACACCAAAGTGTGTGTGTGTGTGTGTGTGTGTGGGGGGGGGGGGGTTAACAGACCGGAAGCACCTTAATGTCTGCGTTTCTTGTCTACGGTTTACAAATGTTTTTGCATCACTCGTTTAGGTTAGAATAAAAAATGTTAGCTCAAAAGGAAAGAAAAGAATAGCAGGGTGTGTCTATTCGTGTTTAATTATCACATGACCCATTTGTTCTTGGAGCTGGAACTGGTCAATTCAACGGAGTGCGTTGACATGCAAAGGCCGCCACTTGGGGAGGGGGAGTTGGTGGGGGGACTTGCGAGCGCACTTCATGCGGCAATAACAGTGGTCACCTTCCGTCTCCAGGGGTGTCTCTCATCCACCTGGGTGGGTCTTGGAGATCTGGTGGTCTTCACAAACCAGAGGCGTGGGATGAAGAAGGTAAGAAAGGACGACGGGTTAAGAGATTGGAGAATGAGAGATTGCAGAATGTATCCAAGCTTTGCACACCATGCTGACTTTGGGGAGGGGGGGGGGGGGGGGGGAGTGGCAAAGCTTCGGGACGGGGAGTCTGTGGAGCAGAGGTTCCGAATCTTTTTTGCCTCACAGACCAGTTTCATGTTAGGCAATGTTTCGCGGACCGGTCACACAACAAAAGCGGCAAGGCGCTTGGATGGCTTAGGAAATTGTGTCGAGAGGACAAGCGCATGGGGGGGGGGTGCATTAAAAGCTGATGCGATGTGGCTGACTCATTGGGAGAAGGAGAGCGGGAAGGAAGAGACACAGCCATGCAGAGAGGACGCAGCATTTAAAAAGGGCGGTTCCAAAGATTCTAATGACTCTTGGTGATGTAGTGGTGAGGTCAGGGTTTACTCGGCTGTAAACCTGGAGAGCATATATTTATAACAGCCTGTGTGATGAGCAAGTGCTGTGGGGTTAGAAAGAGGTGGGCAATGCATTCTGTAAAGGGTTCAGGCTTCTTAGCCCAAGCGAGGATACCTCAGCCAAAAATATATGTACAAGGTATATAACATGTATATATTTAGTTTAGTTACACTTAATCTGATTTGTTTTTTGTCCTTATGCCATTTTAAAGCATTCTTCAATGTGGCCGGTTTGTATCATTAGAGAATACAAAACTACTTTCACATAAAAAAAACTGTATGAATGAATTTAAATGGAAATAGTTCTAACTGCTAAATGCGCCACTATGACCACCAGCTCGTCGACAACTTTGTCTCTCGTTTCCGCCGGTGGCTCATTAAAGGGAATCTGCAGAGTTGTTAAGCCTCATGAGGGTTTGTCACTACAAGTAACCTTCTTGACATAATTCATCAGGTTGTTTCCAGCTTAAATGTTTGTACTTTTCTCTTCAAATATTTAGTCAGCGTGAACATTATAATCAGCCTTAAAAAAAGTCCATCATATTACTGGGGGAGGAGGGATGGGAGAAGTGTGCCGACGGGGCAACAGTTATGAACATTACAGTCCTACTCTGGCCTTCATATACAACAAATAAATATCGCTGGAGAAGTTACTTTACAGCAACAGTGTGTCAGAGATCCCCGACGTAATGCTGTAACCCAACAAGCAGGAGGTGGGATGAATTAGACAACACCGTCACCATGATTTTAAGGGACACACCCAAATACAGCACCACTACCAACACCACCGCACGCACGCGCACACGCACACGCACACACAAATCCAATTGAAAATGCCCTTGATGAATACCACCGTGGTGCCTGTGTGTGTGTGTGTGTGTGATTTCGGCCTCGCACTGGCCTTACCCAGAGCTCGTCGGACACGTCGATCTCATCGATCATCATCAGCAGTTCGTCATCCTACAGACAAGCGGCCACAGGAGAGAATGGAGGGACATGTTTGCTGTTGTCCCGGGAATAATATCAAGGCCAAATCACATGACCGACTTCTTAAAGTCTCTTTTTTAAACCGTCTCCCATCAGACACATTTCATCACAGCCAGAAGCTGTAAAAAAATAACTTCATTATGGTCAGATTTTCAGCTTTGAGACAGGTCCTTAAACACACTGTGGGTGATGCTCACTACTGTCCAAAAAAGCACCAAAACAACTTCAAGCTTCAAACTGTGATATTTTATCAAAACATTTAGTTCTACACGTCATTTAGCTGCATGCTAAACAGTTTGCTAAACTGTTTGCTTGGACTAAATTCACCTCATAAAAATTCAGAGCAGATAGGTTGTAAAAATGGGAATCGAACAATGTAGATTTATAAATTACATTCAGAAATTCAGTTTTTATAAAAATAAACAAACAATTTATGGCAGTTATACAGTTAAACTTCATTTTAGATTTTTTTTTGTCCTCTCTACTACGAGCCACAATTAGGCCGTTTCAATAGAGGTACTTTTATATTGCAATTTAAAAATGAGGCAACAGAGAGTAAAAAGAACAAGTACTGCCTGTGGTTCAGGAGGGTTAAGGAGTTACAAACAGACTGGTGGAAAAAACAAAAGAAAACAGCATTGGTGGTGCAATAAGGATGGTCGTCTGCTAGTTGTTTATCTGCTCCTCTTTAAACTAAAACAGTTTGCACCGATTGTGTTGAATGAGAGGATAAAAAAACGTTTTTTGTTCCAAAACATTTTTTGGGAGAGAAAATATTCTCAGCGGTTTCACAGAGTGGAAAGCAAAACTGCTCCTGACCTTGAATGAGCAATACGAGCTGAACAAACCCTGATAGGACGCCGGGCACTGTTTGGATGTGTCTAAACAGAGAGGTGTGGCGTCCTGCCCCCATCCTCCAAAAACAAAACCAGAGGATGCCAACACAGACACTCAACACGCAGAGAATGAAATGAGGTTTATTTTTCTCATGGTAAAAGGACATGCAAACAGGCAAAGTCAGAGAGAAGAATGAAAGGTTGTCACATGCAGTTCAGTGGATAATAAGGTTGAAATGCAGTCAAGGAGCTTTTTAATAAAGTCTGAAAAAGTACAAATACACTACATCTCAATGCATCCTACTAAGATAAAACGACTGGAACAAGTGAAAAAAATGTCAATTTAACTACGTTTTTTAAAATAATGCCATGCAATTTTGTTTTAAATCATCTGATATCGTTTTTTGTTTAATGATGAATGAAATGCCAATGACGGATGTCTTAGTGTACTGGCAATGCTAAAAAACTACATGACCACGTGACATTTTCAAACACACAATATGCAACCTTAACTATAGGGGCTAAAGAACACAACTCAGATAACAGTTGCATAATAAACCGCTAATAAATGCTTAGTAAAAAGATATTTAAATCTTTTTAAAGCAACCAAAATAGCTTAATAAAAGTAAGTTTCCTATAATAGTCTAACCTATTTTATGACGTGTAATAACGTTCTTAAGTAAAACCTTTGAAAAGTTGCCATTGTTAAGAACAGAATCAGCACAAAACAAATGCAGCGGCCGTGCGTGAGACAGAGCAGAGGAAAGAGACAAAGCTGTGAAAAGACACACACACACACACATGGACATGGACGGATACACAACCTCTCCGTTTGGACGTATCGCAAGCTGTTGCCACTGACTGATGCCGACCTCCTCATGTTTTACCGTTACATGTCAGCAGAAACATTCTCCTCAACTCTGACTTTTTGGCCAAAACAGGAAATGCAACCACTTGGGATCCTGCTACGTAGCACGTCACTCAAACGTGACGGATAGAGCGCGATGAAAAAACCTGCGCGACGGACAGCATCGGACTCCGCCCGTCTGAGTGAGCAGGTCAGGTGGTTACCTTCTTCTTAAAGATCTGCTCCTCCTCCTCCAAGTGGTGAAGGTGCTGTTCGTCGGCAGTCGCCTGCGCCGCGTCTTGCTTCCTGTTAATCCGGCTCCTCCAGTCGTCCTCGCCGCTCTTCTTCAACAAGGCCACTCTGACAGGGAGAGAAAAAAGATTTCCCAAAACATAGAAAAGAAAATGCATTCATTTTTATGAGGCCACCCACTCACACAGTTACTAAAGTGTAGAGACAATATGGCGCTGCCAGGAGGACCTTCAGTCTACATGCCACACCAGTTAACAGTAAGAAGTACATTGCATAGAGATAAATAAAGATAACAGGCTGTCCAACAGCACCAAACCAGGTGGAGGGATTCATTCATCTGCTAAATAAACATAGGTCCTCACTATATCAAGAGCTCACCTAAATTTGAACATGTATTTTTTTGAGTGAGTTGTGAAAAAATGAGATTACATGTACAGCACAAAGTGACGAACAGAAGTTCAATTATGGAGCAGGCATAATGGAGGGGTCAACGTGTTGACAGTGCCCTGGTCACCCTCCCCGCCCCCTCTCTAACAACCAGCCCTCTGTCACCCAGCGAGGGGGACGTCCAGTTTTGCCCCTGATGGCCTCCACCACGACGCAAAAACAGGATGAGAGTTCAGTGTGAATAGATGGCGCCAGCGGCATCTGGGACCCGTTCCTAATAGATCCTTTTGAAAACTTTTGACGCGGGGACAGATGTGGCCGGAAGACTGGAACGCGCTGGGGCGATTCCATCAGGTCAATCAATCAATTATGAGCGCCAGCGCTGGCCAGTGTGGGTCTCGGTCAACACAGTAGCTAACGCAGCGTGACATAACTGGACTTATGCAATTGTTTCCTTGGAGGGAAAACAGATACTGAGCTCCAGCTCAAATGTACATGGTGAACATTTCCGATGGCGCCGCAGTGATTTTATAAAAGAATGCGTGAAATCGTGGTGTGTGAGTAGAAAGATACCAAAAATATATAAATATTCAGAGAATTGTGTTGAGTCAAGGTCAGAAACAAAGGAATACAAAATGTGGAACTGACCACCACTCATCTATTGACCTGACTCTCCAGCATTGTAATGAGGCGCCTGATTTGTCTTGGCAAGCTTGCCAGCGAACTCCCCTTTAAATGATAATGTTTCCTTAAATCAATGCGCTACGGAGGAGCCTTAACATGGATGTCCATTGAATCCTCTATCCAGTTTCCAATATACGGTTCTTGTAGCAGCACCTCGGTCTCGTCTTTATGATCTTTCTCCATCTAACCCACAATTAAAACAAAAAAAGGTGAGGGAATGGAGTCCTCTTTGGGTCAAACCCACACTTCTACCTGCACGTGGGCAAACACTGAGTAAAGAAACATTTGCGATTGACGCGAAAAGAAAACCGACTCACCTGTCTCTGATGGACATCTGTCTGGCCCTCGTCATGTTGCTCAGCTCCTCTTCCTCCTCCAGCTGAAACAGGCCAACGCTGGCAGGGGAAACAGATCCGACTCTGGATGTGACCACAGTAGAGTCCGGCAGCGCTGTGAGAGAGTGAGAGAGTGCGCGCACACGCACACACACGCACACGCACACACATACAGTGAGTCAAATCAACTACACAAATCAAATCATCTACACAAATGTTCACATTTGAATTTTAAAATAATTTTTTTGCTTAGGAGAAATACATTGTGAGCGCATTAATATCAACGTTATTTAACTCGCTTTACCAATGAGGGAAAAGGTAATTCTTACGTAGTTATTTGTGTTTAAATTAAATAAAATAAAATAATAATAATTAGCTTACGGTGTGATTATTGATAAATGATAAAACAGTAATAAAAAAATATTGCACATCCTGCCATTTACAAAGGCCCTATGTAGGAAACATCTCACCAAATACAATACAATATTTAAAAAAGCTTTCCGACTACAGGCTTTGGTGTAAAATGTAGTCACGTCTCTCACAGTGCAACCTCAGCAGCACAGAGCAGCGTGGGAGCAAACATCATGTCAGCTTTAAACCTGCTTGCCAGCCTGCTGCTGTGATGCGTTCACGAGTGGCGAGAAGCTGCTCGGACACAAAGGAAGCCTGAGGACCACAATCTGAATAAAACGCATTCAGTCGCAGTGACTGCGGTCAAAGGACAGTTTGCTCTTTAATTATTCAAAGCCTCCTGCAGCATCACTCTCATTCCTTACATGTTGTCACTACGTCACTAAGATTTGTGTAAAACCTTCAATGCTAACATGACGTTATTAAGACAAAGCTGACGTTTAGAAATTATTCCATATTATACCATATTCTCCATTTATATGTTAGCATGCTAAAATTTTGCATGCAGTCTTAAATTGACAGTTGCATTCATTTCAGTCAGACAGTTTTTTCTTTAACCTCTCCCGCAGTTAGTATTCCTTTTAATTGTATCTTGCTGTTAAAGAACACTAATATCCAAGAGCAACTTATTAACAGAAAAATGTGTCACATCTTCATTCCTACACAAAAAAAACAAACTATTTTGCCAGTGTTGTTTTCTTGTCGACCATGGATTTAATTTGCAGAGTGAACTGTAAAAATAATGATGATGCAATTCATTGAAAATCGACAAAGACACCGTCAAAGTTCACACGAGTAAACATGAAACGATAAAGAGGCGGTGGCCCCGCTGTGCTCACCCACGCTGACGGCCCTGCTCCTCTGGCTGTCCGCGTACTGCGCGTGAGTCTCCTGCTGCTCCAGGATCATGGGACTCTCTGAGCTCTGCATCGCTGTGTCTCCCCACCCTTTAGCCAGCTGCCACTCCTCCTCTTCCTCCCCCACTTCCTCCTCGTCCACCTCTCTTCTCTTTCCTCCCGTCTGGGGCTGGGGCAGAGCAGCCTGCCTGACCGCTCCCTCCGGGGAGGACAGCTTCCTCTTCCCTCCTCCCAGATCAGGGCCGTCTTTGCCCCGCGGCAACATTTGGCACCTCTGGTGGTCCGCCGGGTCCCGGGACCTCCGGGAGGGGCCCTCAAAGCTTGGAAGGAGGGGCTCAACCTGGGCCCCCGCTGCTGCTCGGGTTAAGTGGATGTCTCCGGCATGGTCCGTGGAGACGGTGCCGCCTCTCTGAGCGGAGGAGGACGATGATGAGGCGGGGAGGTTTCCGAACCGAGAGGCCGGACCATTTTGAAGCTGAGTGACAGGGAGGAGGAAAGAGTCAAGAGAAAGAAGTGGGTCAGTTTGACCACGGACGCTGAGAAACAAGTCGGGCAAACTCTGCTGACGCCGACTAATCAGTCTGACACTGCATTTCCTGAGCCATTGGAAGCCTGCGTTACAAAGCCATGCTAGCCGAAGTTAGTGAACTAACCTGACATTTCTGCTGAGTAATAAATGACAAGCAGCAGTAAACATCCATGGAAACCACAGACAAAATAAACTCAATGCAAAAGAGTCCTCAGGATTTCTTAATCTTTCTCCTTTTTCTGAATCAATTCCCTCCAGTGTGGACCCGGCTGAGGAAAGACAACAGCCCATGCAGTGGGGGGTGAGAGGCAAAGCGCTCTCCTTGTCCTCCCCTCCACCACAGAGGCATCTTTGCAAGCCCTCGAGCATCGCTGAGTCAGAGCTCACTCCGACGGGCAACGGGCCCGTTCACAGTGACATCACACAGGACGCGGCGCGAGGGCCGCCATGCGTGGGCATTTCTAAGGAGCTGCACGGCCACGGCGTGGTGGCGGTTCGGAGGGAGCTTACTTGTAGAGGCTCTCCGGGGCTGAAACACAGCAGTTCATCCCTCACGTCTATGTCTGAAGGCTCCTGGAGCGGGGAGATTCACATGCTGGAGGGTTCACGCACTGTACAGTTTGTATACCCTCGAATAAAATATGTGATTTTGAACTAATTTTATATATATATATATATATATATATATATTTATATAAAAATAAAAATCATATAAAATTAAAAATGTACTATTTTTGAAATTAATTAATTAACATATTAATTTCATGTACTATTTTTGAACCAGAACCGCGGAAAATATGCTTATTCACTGCTTAATAACTATGTTTAAAGCATAAACGGGCAGAGTTAAGAATTTTCTCTCTTCGGTTGCATCTTAAAGTCTCCGCCGGTTACCTGACATTCAGGAGAAGAATGCAGTAAATTTGTCAACGGATTAAACCAATATCAAGCTGTTCCTTACCTGCTCCATATCTCCCAGCGTGATGGGTTGTGTCTGGTAGCGGGCGTTGGTCCTGCGCTGGCGCGTGTCCCCCCTGGTCCGAGTGACCCTGATGGGAGGTTGAGCCAGCCGGTTGAACAGCGCCATCTTTTCCACCAGACTGAGAGTGCTGAGGTCGGGCTCATCCGGACCCTCACTGTGAGCCTTTTCCTCCACTGTGGACACCAGCTTAGAGATCGGGTACACCTTGGTATCCTGCACCTGCCCCGACTGCTGTCGGGTGGCGGCAGCCCTCTTTTCCCGGGGGGCTGCGGCACTTTGCTGCGAAGACGCCTGCAGGCTGCGGGCCGGGTGACACCACGGAGACAAAGAGGAAGTAGAAAGGGAACACTTTTGGTGAGCCTGGACAGAGCTCATGCAAGCTGGCAGGTGGGATGCTACATGGCGGGCGGGAGGGTGTAGCCACGTGCATCAGGTGTCCATGACATCCAATCAACAGAGCTTTGAAAAAGGGTTGTTAGACGCACAGAGCGAGTCATGCCCACCACAAACAACCATTATTATTATTATTATATATAAAATCTAGTCTCTTCAGTATTATAATAAGAAAATTATGTAGTTTGCTACGATCACACGAGAGGGCACCAAAACTCTTAAAACTGCAGTTCATTCCCATCCAGTGGAGTGAAAACAAACACTTTCAGCATTCAGCGATCACGTTAGTCACACGCTGGGGGTTGGCGTGAGGATTCAGTACCGTGCCATGTACCTGTATGGTGGGGCGGTGCTGTAAACTAGGGTGGGGCTAGGGACGCGTGCTACAGCTGTTTGAAAGGTTACTGTGTGTGGCGCATGAGTAGGGACACTACGGGGATAAAGACACACACACACACACAGATTACACTCTGATAACCACGGGAAGGGATGTTCATTCAAGCTGAGAAAGAGGAGTATGAAATATGTTGAGGTTCAGAAAGGTGGCCTAAATAAAAAAATAAAAACTTAATTCAGAAGTCAACGAGGATTCCAAAAGAAATGTTCAATCCCTTTCAGCGAAAAAAACAATACACAATGTGAGGTTGCATGGGAGAGCTTGTGAAAGTTTTCAGATATCTCAATTACAGAAAAATCATCCTGCCTCACTAACCCCAACTAAAGTCTCGCCGTGAAACTTATCCACCCAGAATCAGGGAAGCGTCATTAAAAGGGTTCTATATTTATATAGCAGCAAACAACTATTTGCTATGTAAAGATACAGCAGCATAATGTGGTCACTCCCTCTCTAACTCTTGTAACTCTGCACTGCGCTCAGTCATCTGTTACGCCTGATAACAGCCCCTAGTGACAGCGTGGCTGTGGGAGTGTAGCGCCACCCTCTGGATCCCGCCAACGTAAACACTGTTAGCGCTGTTCAGACCTGTTGGCATCGTCAGCTTTAAGGCGACTGGTTGTCGCGAAAAATATATTTTCTCGTTATTTTATTTATATTGTGAGAACCCAAACAAAATCCTCTTCCTCACCGCTGTTTTTACGGGTGGAGGCAGACATATAAAATCTCGGAAAAAAATTGTTAAGACTCACGTGGCGGCGATGACTACTTCCTCAGTGGTGACTGGCTGAGTCCGGGACCGGTCTTGTGTCCTCCTGAGTCTCCTGTCCACTGCAGTGTTTCTGTACCGCGGTTTTGGAGCTCCACCATCAATGGTCTTCTCCAGCTCCTGAATGGAAACGGCAGAAACGTGAGAAACCATCCAAAATCAATAGAATACTTCCCCACACCAAAACTCTTGTGGCATGATCTGGGAAAAGAAACATTGGCCTCAAACCATCGGGAGGGAGGTATTTGCTGTGAAAGAGACACTGGTTTGAGGACTAAATTTGCCACTCAAGGACATCAAATAAGCAGCCATTAAAAAAAAAGATGGAGTACATTAGGATCATATCTATTGGAGAGCTAAGGAGCGAAACGCGCCCCCATAAAAAGCTTTGTGCTTGCCGTCTGGAACCAGCGTGAAATCTGTCGAAGTAAGAGGACAAACAGACGAAAGTTGAAGCTCACCCTGAAGAGAGAGCGCTTGGCGGCTACGCTCAGCTTGGCCCGCTCATCTAGCTTCTCTTCATCAGCTACAGAGAGGATAGAGGAATACTTTGGTTACTACAGTAGTCATCGTAACATACTTCGGAACCTTCTCCAGGGTTTTCATTTTTAAATGACTGCATCGGGAACATTAAAAGGACAGCAGAGACATCTGTTTGCAACAGCTCACAGGACTAAGGTTAGCTTGATTGAATTATAACACCTGCTTTAGTTTACCCCAAGACTTTTTACCAAATAGAACAGTAAATGGTTATTTTATATATATATATATATATATATATATATATAGATATAGATATATATAGATATATATCTATATATCATTGCAATCCAAAGTGTATGACAATATAAAGCTTGATAGGCGTTGCAACAGTAACCAAGCGTAGTGGCTAAGCAATGGGTTAATTATTTGTCAGCAGGCCAGAAGCAACATTTATTACTTTTTTTTTAACATATTCCATTTATTATCACTTTCACCCTTAACACTTAAAATGTAAGCCTTGTGATGTTTAAGATAAACCTGTTACTGGCATCATTGAGGAGACTTTGTAGTCCTGGATACACAGCCTGGATACACACATACAAAAAATATGACATCATCAAAAAACTATTCCCTTTGACTGACGCCGTCGTGGCGCGCTCCCTCTGATTCTCCACGCTGCAGAAAGCGTCCCAGCTGAGCGTTTGCTTATAAGAAGCAGATGAGGTGGTTCTGCTGCACTGTTCTGCTACTGTCAGCAACAGCAACGACTGAATAAACCCTACATCTAGACGTTGGGCTTGTTATGAAAAATAAGGGGTTATTTAGCCTCAACCCAGGTGTCTATCCTCGAAGCTTTCTCATAAAGCCTTTGGAAAATTACATGTTATTTATTCGCGGCTGCCGGCAGTAAACGTGAAGCTCTAGATAATCATCTAGTTTTCATTGGCAGCGGTATACATGGGCTAGATATTGTCAGGTATGATAGAGAACAGTTCCCGTCCTACTTGGAAACCACTGCATGACTCAGACGATTTGAACTGGAACGGAAAGCAGCTCAACACAAACTTAATTAGAGCCTTTTTCACATCATCATGATCTCATCAACTGGGCCTATCCAATGACTGATTCAATTTACCCAGGAGAATTGGGGAAAATTGATAATACCACAAACAAAACTACATTGCTGCTGCTACACTATGTAACTAAGTACTACCTAATAATCAAACACATACAGCCATGACAGAAATCCCACTAAAGCTACCCAGGCTTAACCAATTACCTCTCTAACACTTGTGTAAAGAAGTTACAGCAGCTCACAAGTTTTACCTTATGCATTCATTAACATTAGTTGCGGGTAATAAAACCTCTGACCACGTTTGTCAAAATGCATGCATTATGACTTGTTTTACTGCTGGAGATATACTTCGAAAATCCCATTCAATCAAACATACGTCAAATCTTTGCAAAAAAAACGACGTCTTACCTTCAGTGGAAGCAAGATCTGAACTCACCCGGGACCTTTGAAAAAAAATTTACAAAGAAAAAATAACATCAGCAAAAAAGTAGTTGTTTCCATGCAACAATGCTTGACTCTGTATTATGGGGTTGTGAGTGGTTAGAGACGGGCGAGAGGAAGCCCGAGAGTCGGTCCAGGCTGCTGGAAATGGGACGGTGAAATGAAAACAGGGAAACAAAAAGCTGTCTAAGAATGGGAGAATTAGACGGCATTAATGAGGTCTGAAGGTTCCATGGTCACAGGCAGTGATTAACAACAAAAGGCCAATTCATGCTTCCTTGGTCCAGTGACATGTGATGACCACTGCCAAGGTCCAATCAAAGGGACCTTTGGCCTTTAAGCTTCCCTGCTTAGTAATATTGTTAGAGAGGTGGATTCAACCAGAACGGAAGTGTGTATGAATGTGTATGATTGAGCCAACTGTATTAATGTGATTATTAATTTACTAGATACTAAATAAATACTTATTGTACATTACACTGCATTTACTTGATCAGTATAGTGCACCAAAACCTGATTGGAATCAGTATATTTGTGCATAAAAAAAAAATATAACATTATGTTCACATTCCTTTGACATGCATGAAGAGAAGGATATTTCCCAGCATTCTTCACTCTCAGCCATGCAGTCCAGTGAAGTACCTATCGGTCTCCTGGCGCTCAGCAGAAGTGATGGGCTGCGTCCTAAATCTCTCTGAGGTCTTTCTACTCTCCCCAGGATTGAGATACTGCAGGGGCCTGCGCTCCCTGTCCCTCATCCCTCTCCACGGGGCCCCGTTGCCTGCGAGAGCCACGTCCCCGACAAACTCACTGTTGGGGCCATACGAGGAGAGGGACCAACAGATAAGCGTACCAAAAGGAAAGAGAAAAATACAGCGTGGTGACAGAGATAGAGATCGAGCGTTTCAGAAGCAGTGGCATAGGTTTGAAAACCACAACCCTGTTTTTTTTAAATATTCAAACAAGACCATGCAGATTTACCAGTGGTTAACGCATGCACACGTTTAATGGACCCGGTCAGTAACCAAACAAGTCAAACAGCAGAATAATAAAAAGCATTCTTCATAGAAAGCTAAAGTGTTCTGCGACAAATGCGTGAATGCCATTTCTACGGATTAGAAAAGCTCTATGCGTTGATGCTGACACCAGCCTTACTTGCTTGTTAGTCATTCAGCAGCAGGGAGAGGTTGGCTAACAAGCATCAGTGTGAGGTCTACGGAAGCTAGCCGGCGAGGAGCGGCGTTTTACTTTGCCACCTACAGCTCGTTGATGCGGTCGGTGTGAGGGGTGGTGGTGGCGCTCTCCATGTAGGAGTGCCTGAGCTGGGCTACTGACACCCGGCTGTCCTGGAGACGCTCTTGGTTTCCGACATTGTCACACTCACTGACTACTTGGCAGTCATGCTGCGGGTTCCTCTGACTGAACCCTCGTGGATCCCGAGCCTCTGACACGGAGCGAATCTGTGCTGCATGGGAAGCCCTGGGCTGGGTCTGGGTGGCGGCCATCCCTTTGTGGATATACATGGCAGTATCTCGCCGTCTGGGCCCTCTCCCTGAGGCTTGAAGACGGAAGGTCGGCTCCGTTTCGTCCCATCTTTCTCTGCTTTGTCGTCGTCCTCTCGCCGGTCCCTCTACCTCATTCGCCGTGGTCATCCCTTGCTCCTCTTCCCCCCTTCCTCTCAGTGGGTCCTCAGTGCTCCTCTCCCTGCGGCGTATCTCTGAGGGCAGCACTGCTTTCCTGCTCCTGAGGAGGCCCGCTGTCTTGAAAACCTCAGATTCCTCAGTATCGTCTTCCAGCGGCTCTTGCAGTCCAGGACCGGAAGCCATCGTCAGATAACTTGGGTAACTGGCAACATCTTGACCTCCCAAGGGCCCAAGTTGAGTGAGATGAGGCTGGGGGTGATAGGGGTAGACCTGCTGGGGCCCTGGTGGAGCTGTGTGTTGGTGTGTAGAGGTCTGGGTCCGGGGTCTGTGGTAGATTGGCACATCTGTAACCTCTGCCGGCTCTGGGCTCTGCTGGCGGCCCTCCTCCCTGGCAAGTCTCTCCCTAACTCGGATTCTTCAGGGAAACAAAGGACTGGTTAACATTTTTAGTTCATGTCCTAACAAGGACTTATAGGAGGTCTGATAGGAGCAGATTTTTATTTTTTATAATTCTTTTTCTTTACAAAGGATTCTACTCTGGGTTTGGAACCCAGCCCTTCTAGGGTCCTTCAGTGGCTGGGTTCCAAACGGCAACGCATCCTTAGAATCAGTTACCAAAGATGTCCCAACTTGGTCAGATTGTGTTTGCGCAAACAAATAATCTAAAAATAATATTTTCTGGCGACATTAAATGCTGAAGAATTGAAGTTATGTTTTGGTAAAATTCCTATTTCTCAAAAGTAAAGTATTTGGAAGTGAGGGTGTAGTAACAGGTAAGATCTAAAATAGGGATTTCTAGGCAATCTTAAATCTAAGGTTTAGTGATGGGGGAGGGCGGGGTAATTTCAGGGGCACGGGGCACCCCCTGATATAATGGCAGGGGAAACAGTTGAATATACCTTTGTTTTTACATAGGGATTAAACTTAACACAGCAACTAGTGAATGAAGAGGAAGTTATGTTCCCAAGCGCAGGGATCAGAAGCTTGTGGCAAAAGGGAGGACAATGAAAGCGCTAAAAGCAAGGGTTCTTAAACCTTAGTGGAATACGATCAGCCCAGGATCTGCACTGTCAATGACATTCAACCCTACAAGAAGATGAAAGAAAGTATGTTCTTGTAGGGAACAGTGCTGGGTTCTGTCCTGACCTACGGTTTAAGAACCAGTGCTCATACAGCACTGTTTGATGAGTTGTGGTAAGTCCAGCACAATGGGAACACGGCAACATGGCAGGTGATATTGGGGTGAGACCAGCCTTGTACCTCGAGGGCCAGTTGATGAGGGAATGGGTGTCGCCCTCAGCATCAGTCTGGAGGGACCAATCAGTGCTCGCCCTTGCACTGTTCCAAATGAAACCCGGTGGGAGACAAGTGAATAAGTGGGTGGGTGGGTAAAAGTCTGTGTTTAGTATTCAGCCTTTCTTTTCTTGGAGTGCACTCATAGACAAGCCCCACATTACACAAACCACTGACTTCCAGTTGAGCATGACCCAAGTGAGAATGGGTTTGGACAACAGCAAGATCCTGCTTGGAATAATAGTCCAACACCCCATTGAGACGTTTCATTGTTATTGTGGTTTTGTGAAAGGCATCACACACACACCATATAATATGAACAATACATCTATTATTTAATGCTTGTTAAATGAACAGAAAATTGATCAGAGTAGGCCACAGACGACCTGTACTATACAAATGACCTCTTTCTATTTTTCAGTTTGTTTTTAGAAATCTAGTCTTTCTTGGGCTTCAACAAGTGCAAGTCCGGCTGAATGTCTGAGGTGGAGATGCAACGGACATGGTGATTGTCAGTTGTCAGGATCTGGATTTGTTGAACATCATCACACATCACTTTTGTTAATAAATGTAGGTAGATCCAGACATCTTACGAGCATGCCTCCCCATGTGTTAAATTGCTCTTCCTGTACTGCAGGTTAATGAGTTCCAGATGAACATCACTGGGAGCATTATCCAACAAGGAGGAAGAGATACTTTTCATTTCACTCTCAACTGCTTGGAACCACTTTGAACTCCATGCCGAGCCCCTAACATGGATGAGTACTTGTGGCGGGGATCAACTGGTGGTGTGGCTCCTTTCCGGGTTTGCAGATGGGGGAACAGTCTTGCCCTCCACGTTGGCTTTGAAGAAACCTTCTCATGAAATCCATCACCAGGCTGTATAGGTCACGTGCAAAGAGGCCCTTGCCATGTAGTTTGGTATTTAGTCCATTCAAAAGTAGAGTCATATCAACAGCAAATACAAAATCTGTTTTCCAGGTTACGTCTGAGAGCTCTGTGATGTCCTTGCCTTTTTTCTCACAAAACTCCCTGCTTTGCCTAAGCTGAGCCACCTTACAGTGGTGTGGTAGCCTATGTCACTGTGTTCATGCTCCTCCAGGAGTGCAATAAACTGTCTGTGGTGCCAGATTGTCCCATTTCTGTCCATAGACAACCCTCCCCATCGCTGTGCCTTTCATGGACTGCATTGATGAAAGATCTTCTGTAATCAGGGCTTTGGTTATGCCACGTATAAAGAGTAGTAACTGAGCTGTGTCGCGGACATTGCAGCTCTCGCCCAAAGACAAGAAGAAGAATTCAAAATGATCAGCTTTTTTTTGTAGCTGAAGCTTCAAATTATCCGGGATTTCTTCGATCCTCCTCGTGACTGTGCGCCTGGAGAGCGACACGTTCTCGGGGCACAGTAGTGAAGCAGATTCCGCCAAACACATTTTAATTAACTCTCCATCAGAGAATGGCTTACTGTTTTTTGCAATCTAGTGGGATATCACTTAGCTTGTCTTGGGTGCTGCATCCCTGGATGTGTGAAGCTTGGTAAGAAGGCTTTGTTGCTTTAGCAGTTTAGAGAGCAAAGCCTCAGACGTCCTTACCCGCTGCACGTCAGCGCGTTTCTTTTCGCAATGGCGATTAAAATTGTAATCCTTAAACACTGCGATTTTTTCTCTCCAAACAAAGCACACAGCTTTACCTTTGACTTCAGTGAAGAGGTTTATGTTTTGTCCAGAAAGTTACACCTGCACTAATCTGCAAATTGACAAGAAAAACAAAAAAAGCAAGGCAGCTATTCTGTGTGTGATGTACACCAGCGTTTCCCCTACCATTAAATACATTATATCAGGGGGGCACCTGTGTATGCATGTAATTTAAGGCCTAATGCCCTCATGTATAATGCCCGGGTCTGGTGTAATTGAAGCAGCTCTTTAGAGAAAAATAAAAATACTGCTAATACTACAACGACCGGAATTCACGTCCAAAACAGAAGAATAAGAACAATGAAAAAAATGTATATCCGATAGTAGTGTAGTTAAATTGAGTAGTAACATGCCTATTGCGGAGGTCTGCGAGGGTCCACTTGGGTCTCAGGAACTGAGTACTTAACTTGGACCCCAGTAAGTAATTCAAGTCAAGAAGTCGACGTTTGTAACATTATATGTGTTCAATCCAATTAGTTTTGGTTTCACATGGCAACAAAGGCATTATTGAACACTACAAGGCATTGCTTCTTCACGTGAAGCTGGGGAAACATGTCTCCCGGACCATCAGCACCGGTTCCCCCCAAGGCTGCGTTCTCTCCCCTCTGCTCTTCTCCCTGTACAACAATAGCTGCACCTCCAGTCACCAGTCCGTCAAGCTCCTGAAGTTTGCTGATGACACCACCCTCATTGGACTAATCTCCAGTGGGGATGAGTCCGTCTACAGGTGGCTGCACCACGACATCTGGTGGGTCTAGCTCCACCCTTTAGTACCAAACAACTGTGCCAGCTACCCCAACGGAAGGGTACCCAAAAAGTGGTACGGTATGGTTCGGATTTTTGGTACCATTCTCAACTTTTGGCAGTGGAGACACAAATAAAAGGGTACCGACCTGACCCGTACCGTACCGCTCGGTGGAAACGCGCCATAAGACCTCCCGCCACACGAGCAGTTTCTTCCCGTCGGCAGTCGGGCTCTGACTGACTAACTCTGACATTCCACCGGTCACTTACTTTCATTCTGCACACGTCACTTTCACTTGTCAATTTTCACTGGTCACTTTTGTCACTTCCTGTTCGCTAGTGCACTTTATTTTGTTAATATTTTTAACTTTAACTTTATTCTTTTATTTTAAACTAACCCATAGCCTTATTCTACTAACCCATAGCATTTTATTTTATTACTTGCACTGCTGTCTTGTCATCTATTGTCATACTGTCACGCACCAACCGCCAAGTCAAATTCCTTGTGTGTCTGACATATTTTGGCAATAAATGTTTCCCGATTCCTGACTGTCGTCATCATCATCATCATATGGGTGACACCTACATGTACTTTGATTGCTAAACCTCGTCCCTTATGTAGAACACCTCTTCTAAGGCATTAAGCCAGCTGCTTTTGTTTTATTCCATTGTTTGGCTTTGCAGACTCTAGAGCCTGCCAGAAGCTTCCTGTAACTGATGAAATAAAAGGAACAAAATGTCCTTTTGTGGTTCAGTTCAAACCAACACATCCTCTATTTGTCAGAGCAAGGTTTGGCCGTTTGGTTTAGACGGTGTTCATATGGATGTTTTTAACCTGTTATTTTGGTTTAGTCTTGAAATGAAAAATGAAATAGTTATGAAAGGGGCCCTTTATCAAAAGAGTGTCCAGGTGGATCTCTGTTTTCTACAACTTGGTTCAGGAAGAATTGCCATAAAGATTAAACGACCGTGAATGGTTTCTTCTGAAACTACACAAAAAGTGTACAGACACCACCAGAAGGAATTGTTCAAATTGACAATTAAAACACCAGTTTAACTGTGGCCGGGGAAAAAAGGATAGTCTTCAAAGTGCCGAATGATCTAAAGTTCATTACATGATTGACAAAACCGTACACCACAGACACACAGACACACGTTTTCAAACCAGAGAGGGATTTAGGAGCAGCGAGAGGAAGCAATGGGATAGGGAATAGCCTCGTATAGTCTGTGTGTGTTGATGATTATAATAATCTTCATCTAGATAATGTCCTTCATTAGCACGACAGACTGAAGGGTCAAAACTGGTCAAGAGCTGGTTGTTACATCGCAGGTGATGAGTGGGCTGATAATATCTTTAACAGCAGTAGTAGTCACTACCAAAACACTCCTTAGCACGTATCCCCTGCAGCAGCAATGCATCCCTCTGCTGTAAATTAAAACACTAGTGCTTTAAAAGATAGACGTCATTAAACGAGTGCTGGTCTGTTGGGAAAAGCCAAAGCTATAAAAATAAACCTGCATGTCATGTATTTAATGATTGCCTGATTCAGTGAGCACTGGAACTGGTAACCAATACTCAAGAAAAACAATTGCTCCTCTTCGCTATGCATAGTCCCAGCTTAATCTCGGAGAAGGACAAATATTTTTATCAGTCTACAGCCTGGTATGTTGTGGAAACCCAATGGACTCAGGCTGCCTGACCTGGTGTGAAACCATAGTCCTGCCATGACAGGAAAACCGTGGACACGTATGGATAAGCGGGACAGAGATGCAGAGGAGGGACTCAGTCGACAGGACTTGGCGGTTAACTTTGGCAACTCCGTGTTAACGCCCACTTTGACTGCTAAGAACCTCGGCGTGACATTTTTCACTCTCCCTGACTCCCAACGTTACTGCGACAACACAATCCTGTAGATACACGCTCTACAACATCAGGAGAATACGTCCTCTTCTCACTGAGAAGGCTGCCCAGGTACTGATTCAGGCTCTTGTCATCTCACGCCTGGACTACTGCAACTCCCTCCTGGCAGGTCTCCCTGCCACCGCCATTCGACCTCTGCAGCACATCCAGAATACAGCAGCTCGACTGGTCTTTAATCTTCCAAAATTCTCCCACACTACTCCACTCCTCCACTCTCTTCACTGGCTACTGGTGGATACCCGCATCCAGTTCAAAACATTGGCACGTACCATGCTGTGAACGGATAAGTTCCGGTCTACATCCAGGACATGGTCAAACCCTACATCCCAACCCGCATATCTGCAAAACTGCTTGTTCATCTTCCTCCGCAAACTAAGGACAAACCTCTTCAGACTTCCTCTTCAAAACACTAACAAATTATAGCACTTAAATTGTACTTATAATGGCACTTATCTATGGCAAATTGTAAATTGGCTTATTTGATTAAATTGCACTTTCTTGTCTCTTGTTCTCCTGAGTTTGTATCTTTATGGCTGAAATGCACTTATTGTAAGTCGCTTTGGATAAAAGCGTTAGCTAAATGACACGTAATGTAATGACCGATAAGTCTGTCACAGTCTATTTAACTTTGCTGGCTCCTTGTTGAAACCATTGAACCCTGCCTGTGTGGATTTAAGTGCTGCGTTCTGGCCGGAGAAGGGCTCTATCAAATACAGAACACCTATTTTCATAAAAAGAGAAACAGTGAAAAGAAGCGTTTTGGATATGAAAAAAAGGCGATCAGAGGACTCACCCCTGTCTGCTGAGGATGTTGTGGGCCTGCTGCTCGATGAACAGGTCACCAGGAGACGCCCCGTGCTTAGGTGAGGACAGGGAGAGGTGCCTGCTTAGCTTGGGTGAACTAGGTTGCATCACTGTGACGGAGTAGTCCTTGGCAGGAACCCTGGCGGGCGAGGACAACGATGTCCCGTCCATGTAAGAGGACGGAGGCTCGGGCGGAGCAGCTCTGCGTTGATTCTCTAGATTCATCAGCCTCTCCCTCTCTGTAAAGGAGTCCGCCCTGGTCCGACCCATCCCTTGACCTGGGTCCGAGTGGCCGTGCAGTGGGGCCCGAGAGTTGGCGCCCAAGCTGCCGGTGTAAGAACGATGGGCGATGTCCTGCCCGTCTTTCCCCACCGACTCCCCTCGGATTCGCCTCTCTGAGCCTTCCAATTCCTTCCGGGTACGAGTGGAGCGCGGGGGTTGTCCCAAGTCCGGCTCCTGATCTAAAGAGATGCCATAGCGCTCTGCCAGCTGTCTGCGCCTCTCTGCCTTGTAGCGGGCGATTCGTTCAGCCTTTGACTCAGGCTTAGGGCCGCCGGTGGTGGAAGCCGAAGTGCAGGCGGGCTCCATGGGGACGGAGGACTGAGGGTCAGGTCTGCAGAGAGCTCTGGCCTGTCGCTCTGGAGCCGCCACCTGCATCTCTGGGCATTCAAATCCATCCATGCCATACCGCTGGACTGTAACTAGGAGGAGCAAAGAGAACACAAGTCAGCTATTGCCATAGAAACACACATAGGCGGGTCAAGGCGTGGCACTTGTCTCACCACCAAAGGGCTCACAGGGATCCGAGGCCCTCGTGTATCGGGGTGTGTCCTCCTCCAGAAGCCGGTTGGCCACCAAACTCGGCAGCAGAGACGGATGCACCTCACCATCGATGCCCTCCAACCGCCGAGCGATACGCTCCTTTCTGCACGCACAAGTAGTCAAACTCAGACATGTTATTATCACAACATTGTCCTTATCAGAAACTCTTTCGAGCATTTTATACACTCATCAAAACTCTCACCTGTTCATTTCCCAGTCACTAGTGCTTGTTGTGATGCCTTCGAATCGTTTTCTCAATTCAGAAACTACAGAGAGAATGAATAGATACAATACTGTTATGGCTCAATGATAAGGAAAACGTCAGTTTTAGTGTCATCCAAACAAAATAAATGAAACGGCTAAAGTTGTTTACAGGTTGGATTCAGATTGCAGATATAGTTTGCAATGTTCGCAATAGAGACTGTGTTGGGTGTATGTACTTACTTTATATACCTTTTAAGAAAAATGTATATGTATGAAAACACACATATCATTTTAGTTTTAAGTCAGCTCTCAATTTAGATGGCAGAAACCTGACAAATTGGAATGATTAACCAATTCATATTCATTCAAAAATAATACGAGCCGTTCACGACATATGATAGCTGTAGCCTCCTTACTTTGATCCACAAACTCCTTAAGCTAGTTGAAATGAATACAAGGGGGTCCTGATCCATAACTATTAACTAGAGAAGCTTAAAGTGGATGTACATCCGTTTACAGCGCAAAACAATTTCTAAGGAGTGTACTAGAGCTAAATTCATTGTACCTGGGGTGGAGTTACTCATGGCATTAATGGTAAATGGTAAATGGACTGTACTTGTATAGCGCTTTTCTAGTCTTCTGACCACTCAAAGCGCTTTAACACTACATGACATCATTCACCCATTCACACCCATTCATACACTGATGACAGGAGAACCACACACAGTGACACCTGCCATCAGTAACTACCATTCACACACTGTAGTCGCAGCTACAGGAGCAATGTTGGGTTAAGTGCCTTGCCCAAGGACACAACGGCATGCGGGTTAGCCGGGCCTGGGATCGAACCGACAACCCTCTGATTGGAGGACGACCGTGCTCCCCACTCACCCACAGTCGCCCGTTAATTAATGGTAATACGCTACAGCTAATCCAGAGATGCATGTCATCTGCACCAGCTAAGACTGAGAACTTGTTGACGTTACCAAAATATATTGTACATTTGTCTTTGATATTAAGAAAAAGAAAGCTTTGATGAGACCTTTGGGTGTAACAAGTTTGACGCCAAAACAATACCAGGTTTAGGAAACCAACTCCTAGTTTGTAAAACTTTACAATTACAATATCCAAGGTTTTGTTTTTTCAATGCTGACATTATGACTGGTAAAAAGTGACGATAGGACCATCTCTCTTTGTTGTGGGTAAATGGGTTCCCGTCAAAAGTAGAGTTTTATATTGTACAATGTGTGAGGACTGTGCTTGTAGCAAAACTGGTTTAAGACAAATCTTGTCATGACTCCACCGTACAAAGAGGCTGCTGTTGCACAACAGCAATTCTCAAAAAACACGGCCTTGTGAGGGTGATTTGCAAGCAAGCAGAAATAAAAACAAATCCGTACTCACCTCTTGGGAGATTGGCCAAGAGACTAACATCTATATCCTTGGTACTTTTTGCCGGGTCCTCTTTTTCATCAAGGGAGAATTCTTTCTGAAAGCTGAGGGGTGGAGAAATAGGAAAAATACTGACTTGTTATTGAAACAGCACTGAGCTGTGGGAAAAGTTCAGGCATTGTTTAAAGACCGGCAATGGGAGCAGTTGTGAGGGGCTCAACACACAAATCTGACCTTGATCAGAACAGTGCATCAAAACCTTTCAAAAGGACGTTGTTGGAAGCAGGACAGGTTTGAATGACGTTCAAAAATCTAGCCGATCAACCAACAAGTTATAGATGAAGCTCCAAAAAATATCAAGCCCATCATATAATACATTTGGATTCCGACCTGCAAGTCTCAAATCCCCAAATATTGATCTTATTTGAAATGTTTTAGTCTCGTCACCCCCTTGCACGCATGCATACGCTGTAAATAACTCTCCCAGAAACACATTTATGATTTGGTTCAAAACCAAATTGTGATGATGCAGCTGTGACTGAACTGGCAGTGCATTACTTATGTGAGGAACCGCCAAGAATTGGGGGGAAAACATGACTTGCGGTCTGGTCCGTTCCAGGCACCTCGGAGTTGTGAACACACTGATGAATCGGTTTTCATGACTGAAATCTTCCAATATCTCATTCCTACAGGCACAGTGTTATAGGCACCCCCAAATGGTTTGCAGCCAACTTGGCTGAAAGCGGTTTCTATATTTTTAAATAACAAAAAAATGCAATGTTTTACGTGGAATATCAAATATTATATGTGACTACTTGTTTTGAGAGAAGCATTTGTCACACAATGTGTTCCAAGACACACTGAAAGAACACAATTTTTACAACATCTGGCTAGGATAAATTATGCTATTTTAGAATACCTAAAGTACAGGTAAGTAACACATAACATTTAAGTATGTCTTACCTCAAAGCTCTCTTCTGCAGCAATCTGGGGTTGCTCAGTTTATTGGGGATCTCACTCCCAAGTCCTGCGGAGAGAAGAAAAGAGTACCTTAGTTAATGCGCCAACGCCCATTCGCTTTCTTTCTGAACAGCAAGACCTCCTCTCTGCTCATTAAAAGCTAAAACACAAGGTGAACCAGTCCGAATGTCCCCTGGTTAATTAGGTGGACTTTCACGGAGAAAACAAGTGATTTGGAAAACAATAATCTGCCGTCATATATATATATATATATATATGGCGGGCAGATTTTTTTAATATATATATAATAACCAAACTGGGTAGTTAAAAGTCCCCCACCCCCAAACAGCACCATATCATCCTTACACATAACTTCCAGAGAAAGTCACTGACTCATTTTTGAGGATTGGCCTATCTGCGGTGCACGAGGTCATAGCGTCAAGGGTTTGATAGAGGGGCAATTTGTCACTGAGACAGCGAAAGCACTAGAAAGTCTGACCACTCGTCAAGGTTGCAGTGCTATTGGGACGTGGCTGGGAGGGGCCAAGTGCATCAATGTCACCGGGAGGCCCTTTCATACCCGGCGTGAATACAGATGTGGAAAAGCACAAAGAGCGACGGAGAACCATATTGTCCAGTCCACCTCAGTTGTTTATTGGAAAAGGGCCCAAAGTCCACCTGCCTACAGAGAAATCTCATTACAAAAATTAGGGTATTAGCTGGTTTTAGTTATGCGAGTCTTGTGAGTAAGTTGAGTATGGCAGAACATCCCTTGGGGAAATGTGTGCTTCAGTTATTGACTTTAGACCTCAAAACATGTAGTTTTGGCTGCGCTTGGACCTCAGAGTGGCCAGAGCGGCGTAATTTCAGGACAAACATGTGGTCTCACTTCCACCCCTTGCGAGTTCAACTCAAGGCCGCCTGACTCCCCCACTGCTCCACCTAGAAAACCCCTAACCTCTCCCCAGAGGCCGCCCATTCCAGATCTGTTCGTCCTTATTAAGGATGTTTGGGTTGATGCTTTAAATCCCTTCCGCTTAAGCAAAACAAGAGAGGGCTTATTTGGAGAGGGAGGTGTGCTTTGTGTTTATGCTCAGGGAGGGTCTGGTATTGTTTCAGCTGGGAGGGGGCAGGGGGAGAGGTGAAAACAACTTATTCCTCCCAAGCAATGATAACTATGAGCTATTTGTGTATTCTTTTGAAATTGGTACAATTTGGTACAAGTTGATGACATTTTATACATCAATATAAATTGATGTACTACTTGTGTTGCCCCCTGATGGTCAGGAGAAAAAAATGCTTTTAGTTTACAGTACTGTAAAAGATCTTGCAAAACCCTGCAGGAGGCTTATACTCTTCGCCCGGACTCAAAAGACTTGGCTTGCCAGTTCTCTATAAAAGCAGGTGGCGAGCACAATGTTATCAAGGCCGATAGTCATAAAAGTCAAATACATTATTTGAAAAATACCAGAATATACCTTTAAGTTAGAGTGTGAAACAAAACCAGATGCTGCAGTAAAGGTTAATGAACTGCTAGTGTGAATGAAAGCAAAGTATTTTTCCCTTGGGGCCTTTGTCACATCTGACGTATGCAGTTTCCCACAACCCAGACCTGTATTTCTCTTACACATCACATGCCCTTTTCGTAAAGGCTTGTGGGCAATCGTGGGTAATCATGGGCACCCTCTTTCCTCCCCCCATCTTCTGAGAGCCTCAATGCATTCGTCATTCCAGACGCAGGCCACTGAAAAAGCGCTAAAACAATCACACATGTGGCGGGCCCTTTGATGCTGGTTGTAATCTACAGAAAACCTATTGGCTGTAATAGCCGGGAGGGAGCGTGGCAGGAATTCCTCTACACCTTGCGCGTGTTGATATGGCTGTAAAAAACGTGTGACACTAAAAAAACAAGGGGGATGAGAAAAGTTTTACAATTCAATGGGGTGTCATACAGCCTTTTTATGGGAAGGTATCAGAAGAGGTGAGGGCGCAAAAGACTAAGACCATAATATGGTTGCCAATCAAACAAACGCTTGCTACGTCATCCACACAAAAAAGCATCCAGTGTGGTCCCTAAAGTGGCATCGGGGCCGAGCATGTGTCTAAATTGAGAACGCACGATTAACTTAAGATTCCTGGGATTAAGACGTGCTATGAAGGAGATGTTAAAACATGTCTGCATTACATCACACTGCATTGGCAGTGTGAAAATTAAAGCTCAAAGTATGGTTTAGATTTTTTTTCTACCTTTGCATTTGCAAGTGCCTTGGTCATTTAAAGTGCTGATTGTGGAGAAACAATACCCTCCCATCCCCCCCAATAGTTGCCCACATACTCGGCCTTGACCCCTTTGAGCTAAAGCCTCACGGAGGAAGGCTTAAGAAGCAAAGCATTAAAGAAAAACAAACAGATGGGGAATCAGAAATGAGGCGATGAAGTGGCTGCAAACAGAAGGTTTAACAAAGGATGTGACAATAAGCCAATTACGTCTTTAACACTAATGACAATGGGTTGGCCAAACAAGCAGCTCTGTCTCAGTTCATTCAGGGGAGGAAACAGATCACATGACCGCTATACTGACACGTCTAGACCCTCCAAAAACGCTCCTAAGCACAGCAGCCTCTCTGCTCATCAAAAGTCTCAAACTGTGAACCACCTGTAGTGAATTCCCAGACTGCTTTAGAGGCCAGATCTCAAATCTCACTCTAAATTATTAGAGAGAATGGTGAATAGACTGTACAGCACTTTCCTAGTCTTCAGACCACTCAAAGCGCTTTAACAATTCATGTCATTCACACACATGACAGGAGCTACCATACACAGAACGTTCACATCATCCACACACACACACACACACCATAGTCAGAGCTACAGGAGCAATGTTTGGGTTGAGTGTCTTGGGCTGCTTTAGTCAACCAACCGGTCATGATGGTCTGACTGATTGAAAAACCATGCTTAGAGAATATGACAATTTCTCACTTCATCTATTACCTTAGTAAACAGTGGTTTGGGGTTGCAATTTCTATAGTTTGAAGTCTTCAATACATCATGACGTTGATTCATTCAATTATGATCCATTTAGAGTAAAATAGAACTTGAGGGTCTTTTTTACCTGCAAATGCAGGGTAACGCTTAAGGACAGGACTAACTTCTGAATGACTGGTAGTGAAAGCAAACTGAGTCATAAATTGAGTCTGTACCCCTCCTCAAAAATGCAAAGAAGGCCTCTGCAAAATAATGAATATCGGGGGGCCAAAACGCCGAACTTGATGCTTCCAAACAGTGGAGAGCCCAGATGACTCAGCACTGATCTCTCCTACAAACAGGATGCTGCGACTGGCAAGCTTTCTAAGTGATAAAAATGGGACTACGCTAACACCAAGACTTTACAATGACAATTACAATAGCAGTGACACTTGGTTCATTCAGCTAAATTGCTGCTTTAACTTGAATATCTTATATTAGAGATGTTCTATTATGCAGCCCCAGTGATAAAGCCGAAGAATACAATCATACATGCAACTTCTTTCCTAAATCGGAGTCGGACTGGCTGTGAAGCCTAGAAATAGCTTCTTCCCTACAACAGCCCCAGCATTGGTGGAGTCCCTTATCTCTGCTACGTAGTGTCCTTGGAGGCTACAGCTGCAGTGCAAAGGACGGCAGGCTAGAAGGCAGGACAGTAAGGACAGAGGAAGGGAGTCTGCAGTTTGTTGCCTGCCAACTTCTCAGAGCCCAGATCCACAGAGCCAGAGCAACCCTCTCCCCAAGCGCTCATTCCGAGCTCCGCATGCACAGACGCTGCAGAGCCCCACTCTCTGCGCTTACCTTGGCTGCAAAACTTGACATGAGTCAGGTAATTCGAGATCCATGGGTTCCGATACATGTTGGCATCAAAGTCAGGGGTGACCGAAGTGAAGGGGATAGAAAGAGAGAGGTTCAGCTGCCTAGGAGGTGATGCAGCTACAAAAACAGTTTATCAGTGCTCCGAGACAGATAGAGAGGGAGAGACAGAGGGGAGGCAGGTAGAGTTAGACCTATAGGAGGGAGGGGGAGAGAGAGAGAGAGAGAGAGAGAGAGAGAGAGAGAGAGAGAGAGAGAGAGAGAGAGAGAGAGAGAGAGAGAGAGAGAGAGAGAGAGAGAGAGAGAGAGAGAGAGAGAGAGAGAGAGAGAGGTCTCCCAAATGCAGTGTCAGTGGAAGTAAAAGGTAGTAAACAGAGGAGTAGTGAAGCTGCAGCTCTTCTGAGATCCACTCCCCCGCCCCCGTTGCTCTAACTAGCTCCTAAGCAGCGCACTACCAGCGTGAGGCTGAAAGCTGCTCAGTGCCGGCTAAGCTCATTAGCAGAGGCAAACAAATTAGGTCCCATCCCTCCACTGCCGATTGGAGCAAGAAGTCCTTGCGTATTCCAGATTGAGCCTAGCAGACGCAGAGAAGAGGGGTATATATATTTGTGTGTGGGTCAGAGAGAGAGATAGAGAGAGGCGGTTAGGAGTGTCCCAGGGAGAGTGCTGCCTTCCCTTTGGCTCAAGCACGAGAGCGGGATGCCAAAGAAACCGGTGCATAGCGTCAGAGGAGGAGGGGAGAGAAGAGAGCGCACAGGCCGGGGTTGATGGGAGTGGAAATTTAAAAAAAAAAGAAAGTGCGCTTGTGAAGAGGAGAAAGTTAAAATGACCCTCTCAGCCAGATGAGACATTCCAGTAGACTGAGCGGGGACAAAATAAAAAGGGAACAGCAGAGAGCAAGAGCAAGAATGGGGACTAGGGAATAGGACTAGAGTGTGTGTGTAAACAGTAATGAGGCGGCGCTGTGTCCACTTGGGTGTAATGGCATCACTACGCTAAGCTCTTCTGGTTGTTCTTCTGAAGAGAGGCCCGTGGGGAGACGGCTAGTGTGATTCATTATTAGTCCCACGAGTCTCCTTTTAGCGCACTCATCAAAAGTGATGCACCCCTTGGTACGATTGTGCTGCGAGTAAAAGACAAAAGCACTCGACACCTTTATGCATTAAAAAAAATGGCTGCTTATGGTTGTACTGAGGAGGACAAGGGGAGGCGAGCCAAACAAATACTGAGACGCTATTGCGTGATGCGATTCTAATAAAAGCGGGGACAGCAGTGCATTTCTTGCCAGGTCATCACAGCATACCAGACCGGCCTTTTCACATCGTAATGTTCCTCAGAAACTACTTAAATCTGTCCTCGCCGTCAAAGGGCCACACAGGTGTGTCGACATAAAGCCCGGCTGACTTTAGAGCCGTGTGTGTGGGTGCGCGTGTAACCTTCAGAGGTGGGATGTTTGGACACCTCTCTGAGATGAGCTCATCTGGCTCAGCTTGTGACACACACACACACACACAGGCTGAGAGTTACAGTCACAAAACTATTTAACTGGTATTTTCTGCACCAATTTTCAGGGGTAAGACAAACGCAGTGCCAGACTGAGCAACAGACAAAGCATCAGCTAATGAACTAATAAAGTACAAAAAAACATCCACTGTTAACAATTAATTATCATAATTTTGACTGTGTGGGGATGAATGCAAGGTGTTGGAAACAAGAGACTAGCTATAGTTACCTCATTCTTCATCAACAATAATATTTAATTTATATTTTGTTCTGTGGTTAGATACTAACTGAATAGTGTACAGTACCAGTCAAAAGTTGTACCGTGTATTCTTCATTTGTCTCGAACAGTTCAACCGCTTTTTATGCTACTTGACAACTCCAATGCTATTTTGAGCATTAACTTGCAACTAAAACGTCACAGGCTTTTTGCTTTCTATCTGTTCCACACATAAGGGGCTAGTATACTCCGTGCATGAACTTGTAAACACACTCCTCTGTCGCTTCAGCCTGTCTGAGTTGTACGATTATTCAGTTACTTGTGTAATCAAATGTTTTATTTTTTCCTCACTTGCCCTCAAGCAGCTACCTTTTCCACTTTTCAAAACTTTTTCATTATGCCAAAAACAAATCAGCGATGAGGTTGAGCAGTCATCGTCACCTACCAACATCTGGCTGTCTGACTTGCATGTAATGTTGCTTTGTTTGACTCACCTGCTTTGGGGATGACATCAGGCTTACGAAACAGCCCCACAGCTTCTACCCTGTTATTAGCAATAATGACACTTCACTACCAACCACGGGCAAGACCTTACAAGTCGTCGCCATGATCCAACACTGCTCTTGTTCTCTAATCTTTGTGGGGGGATTGAGGGATTTATTCAAACAGTATAACAAGTACGTAAACAAAGAAGCGTCTACGGAAGCTAAAAAGTGTGAAGGAATCACATTTATTTGTTCTTCACATATTGAGTCATGATCAGTAGCTGTGAGGACTGCGAGCGTATGCAGTGCCGCATTGAGGGGACTTACATTAGCTCCCCATAACAGCCAAAAAGTCAATGAGGAAAGTTTAGCAATACGAGTTTGGCTGTGAAGTCCAAATAATCTACTATTTGAGGAATATGCATTGTTTAGAAAACTGATTTCAGTTTGCTTCTGTAAATGTTGACACATTGACCACTGACCGGCACAGAATGGTTTGAGGAATGACAGTCAGGAGACCAGAAACTGGACCAGAGGTAAGGGAGAAGATAATTAAAACCTGGCACAGCATTGCAAAACTTGACAAAGTGGTTAAACAGATAGGCTGCAGAAAGCACAGAGCCATTAAAAGCACTCTTAACCTTTTGTTTTGAAGACCATATGACTGACGTTGTTTTTTATTTAAAATCTTCAATTATATCTTACACTATTTTGTGCTGATGTTGCAACACTTAATGCCAAAAAGTTTAAGCCACAGGCTTTAGTTTTTTTCTGTCATAGTGAATGAAGTGCAAGTGTTAAAAGGGGTTCAGACTCAATTTTAAAGTGACAGGCAGTTGGGTTGTACTGAGATGCTGAAAGCAGCAGCGGTAAATGGTAAATGGACTGTACTTGTATAGCTCTTTTCTAGTCTTCTGACCACTCAAAGCGCTTTAACACTACATGACATCATTCACCCATTCACACCCATTCACACACTGATTGAGAACCATACACAGTGACACCTGCACATCAGTAATTAACATTCATACACTGTAGTCACAGCTACAGGAGCAATGTTGGGTTAAGTGTCTTGCCCAAGGACACATGGACATGCGGGTTAGCAGAGCCTGGGATCGAACAGACAACCCTCTGATTGGAGGACGATGGTGGCGGTGGCGGTGAAAAACGTGGCCCAGGAGTTACTGTCAGGAGTTACTGTCAGACTCAATGCCTCACACGTATTAACCAGGAAGCGGCCTACTTGAAAAAAAATACCCTGTACACTTTTATTTATTGTTTTTTAATAACAATCGGATCCACCAATTTGCCTAGATGGACACATGGAATAAAATGATACTGGCTATTGTAACACTCCAAGTAGGGCTGTACGGTATGGCCAAAAATCCATATCCCGTATTAAGAAAGAGTCTGACGATATCCCGGTATGTGGCTGTATTGCTTTTTCAAGTAAATGCATTCATTGACCCCGAAAAAGGACCGCGGCTACCCGAACAGAGTTCGCCGCTCGCTGGCCAACTTGGTTGCAAATGGCCGGCGAGTTAGCAGTTAGCTCGTTGTGGTTCTAGAGTTGCCACGAAGGCAATACCAGCAGCTCGACAAACTTCGCAATAAATCGTTTTCTGATCTAACGTACGTCGGATTTTCCAAAACCAAAAGCCCTGCAAACAAACACAGCTCCTCTCTTAGGCACAAGTTCTGTTCTTTATGTATCGCTCTTTTTCGTGTTTTCACGAAGCAACAGAGTTACTTCTTGTTGTGCGCTCTATCCAGCATGCAGTTAATGTTACAAATTCTTACTGTGTCACAAGCGGTCGTGTCGTTTTACCCTGTTCAGAAGTGTTTGTTGTGAGTTTTTCGTTGTAAAAAAGGTAGAAGCATGACTCAATCTCAACACAGGTATGACAAGTAGCTCCAACCGCTGGGCTCTCCGTCATGACGTGTAAAAATAAATTCAGTTACGGCGTATCACTGGTATGCGAGAAATTCATACCGCACGGAAATTATATACCGGTATATCGTGCAGACCGAACTCCAGGGTAGGTATAATTTGCTAGAAGAATATGTTTTGCGTGGGTTTCAGTATGTTTATCCATAGACCTCAGCGCTCTTAACCGCGCGGATTAATTTACGGGGATTCGGGGGGGCGAAATATGAACTCACTTGCGCGTACGTGTTCCCACCCTTTTGTGTTTCGTGTCTAAATGGGTGTTCGCAGGGGGCTTTTTAATTGGTGTGGGTGTCCGTGCCTGGGGGGGGGGGGGGGGGGGGGGGGTGTTGAAGGTTCATTACAGAGCAATAAGTTGTGTCCTACAACTGAGATCTTTTAATATTTTGCACATTCATCTAGACATCTCTTCTTTTTCTCCCTGAGCTTTTGAGTTTCACCTTTAAAAGAATGACGACCTGCGTCCCAAAACGGATTCGTCTGCGAGGGAGCAATGCAAGTGTTGTGTACGCTATATCAGCTATATCATGTCAAACTCAATCACAGAAAGGGTCTAAATGAAATACTGGGACTACATTGTGGGCTGGTGGCCATTTAGTATCGTCCAGTATGGCCATTTATGATAGACATATAATATTTTATACATATAATATTCAGTCCAAATACTCAAATACACAGTCAGGGCCATAGACTATGTTAATGCGTTTGATAAAAATGTTAACGGAGCAAAAAATAAATAAATTAACTAAGGTTACTGCAATTTCTTATTCAATGAAAAAATGTGTCCAAACTTTTGACTGGTACAGGATGTCACTTGAAATGTTAATTTGTTGATGAAATGTTGAGTAGGATTACTGTTCAGTATCAAGCTGATGTACTGGTAAGCTGACACTACAAGAAAGCCACTTTAGGTTCTTGAAGTTAAACACACTTCAACCGAGAGCAAGGCGGGAGTAAGTTTGATGTCATAATAACAGAACAGCTTCACTAATCATCCCCCCCAGATGTTCAGTTGGCTGCTCAGAATGGACGCTGTTTCAGCCTGGATAAGCTCACATGTGCAGCCAGTCAG